CCTGGTCTCATTTATGTTTCTGTGATAAAATACCCATACCAAAGTAGTTTGGTGTGTGGGGGTTAATTTTGTCTCACAGTTTCTAGTTATAGTCTGTCATCGTAGGGACTTGAAACTGTCGTAACACATCAGTAGAGAGTAGAGCAGAGAGATGTCAATGTCTGCACACCTACTGCTCACCCTCTCTACACTTACATGGTGCAGCGAACGGTGCTGCCTTCAGTGAGTTGGGTCTTCCAACCCCATTTAGCCTTATGAAGACACATCCCCACAAAGATAGCCACATGTGAGCCCTATCTTAAAAAAAAAAAAAAAGAAGGGCGTGTCTCCCAGTAAGTAAGACCGTCTTTTTCGGGTGATTCAAGATTGTTTGGGGTTGACAGACGTAAACAATGCCTGCAGGAGAAAGGGAAAAAGATGTAAGTTACAGTGTTTGCCAACTTCTCTGATGAAAATATTCCCAGGAGAGATGGTTTCAAGCTGTTAAGGTGAATTGAACAGACTTGGGAAATTCCTAAAAATTTAACAGTTCTCATCCCAAGCCCCTTCAGTGTACCCCGGAACTCATGCCCCTCACCCTTCCAAGGTCTTGTGCCACCACCTTCAAGAGCTTGACCCATCTGCAGTCCTCGTTTGATGATCATTTTGAGGCTGTCTTCTTTGTCAGCCTTGTTAGCCAAGTCTAAGCCATACCTAAAACTCAATTTCCTCAAGGGGACACTGAGTATGAACTCGTTTTAGGTGAAAAGGTAGGAGATAATTGAGAATGACTGAGACATGTCAATCAAATGCAGTGTGTGCTCCTGAGTTGATCCTAGCATTGGGGAAAATGTGGTTAAAAATGTTAATAAAGACAACTGATGAAATCTCAATGTAGATTATAAACTTAGTGATAATCCCTTGTCTATGTTCATTTAGCCAAGCTTGAAAATTGTGTAGCTAGTTAAGAGAGTATCTTTTTGTTTTCTGAAAGGAAAGAACAAAGAATACAGGGATGAATGGGCTGGGGATGTGGCTCCATTAGTAGAGTCCTTACCTAGCACATGTGAAGCTCTGGGTTTGATCCCAGGTGCTGTGGAAAGAGTACTCACAGAGGACATGAGGATCAGATCAGTGCCCTCCTGGGCTATCTAGTCAGTGTGGAGCCAGCTTGGGATACAGGAGATCTCCTTTCAAAGAACAACAACATCCAAACAAAACGATGCCAGGAGCTTGTTACACAAGGGTGCGGGATTGGGAAATGGTTGGCAGATACAGGAAAATGTCTCAAAGAATTCTGTGTGGCATCCTATGCCTTTCCCATGACTCTAAAATTATTTACAAATCAAAGGGAGAAGGAGAAGAAAGAGAAGAGGGAAGGGGGTGGGTGGAAAGGGAGGAGGGGATGGAAGGGAAGCCCAGAAGGAAAGAAGGGGATAAACCAGGCTGCAGAGCAGTCTGTAGTTGGCTTCTCGTGGCACTCTGCCATTGAAATGCCTTTTGTGATGCCTCTTGTGACAAATTCTTGCTAAATCCTTGGCATTCCTTGTTGGTTATCTCAATCCTTGGCACTCCTGGGTGGTTATATCTCCTTAAGCCCTTTGTTAGTGATTTGGTGATGTTCCTTACTCTCTTCATTTGAGACTGGCTTATCCTGTCACAGCCAGACTCTGATTGTCCCCATCTACATCTCAATTGTGGATGATCTGTGAAGTTTCGTCCTTGATTTATCTTCTTTAGAGTTACACTTTTTTTTCAGTTTATTTAACTTATCTCATAATCTACACCAGTTCAGGACTCTGTCTCTGTATCCTGAGTCCAGGCTTATGGATGTGACGTGCAGTGTCCCCTTTGGTTATTAGACTAGAGACTGGACGTCAGCTGGGGCCTCAGCGTCATTGTCCTTGCTGTCACCTTTGTGTCACTGTAACAAAAGACCTGGGAGAACTGACTTTAGAGAGAAGTGCTTCCTCATGCCTATGGTTCTGGAGGTCACAGTCCAAGACTGCCTCTGCTGTGGGAAGAGAGGGGGCAGAGTAATGCTGTTACTCTGTGGTCCAGGACACAAGGAAGGGGTTGGGTAGCTCAGTTTCCTCTAATGGCAAACTCCCATGGGTGTAAATATCTCTCGCCAGGCTCTACTGTGATGATTAACTGTCAAGTTGACAGAATCTAGAATCCCTGGAGATGTGCTTGTAGGTATGCCTGTGGGAGTGTATGTTGATTTCACTAGTGGGGCAGGAAGTCCCACCCACTGTGATAGAGTCACTGCCTGGATTGGATAGGATCTGGGACTCTGTAAAAGGAGTAAGGGAGCTGAGCAGCAGCTGTCGCTCTCTTGTTGACCGTGGATATGATGTCACCAGCTGTTTCAAGTTCTGAACGCCTTGACTTCCCTGTCACAAGGGGTACCCTTGAACTGTGAGCTAAAACAGACTCGCCCATTGATTGCTTTTGCCTGGATATTTAATCATAGGAACATGGAAATAAATTAAAAGACCTCCTCCCAACCTTTTAAGTTTCTACCAATCCCTAATAGCTCCATGCTGACGACCAAGTCTTCAGCGCACAGAGCTTGGGTGGACACTCACCAAGAAAGTGCTTACCTTCCTTGGCCCTACCTGTGGTGTCCCCAAGCCTAGCCACATTCCAGTTTGTTTGTCTCCACGAAGCATTCCCAAAATGACCTATCCAGGCCAGAATCCTAGCCTAACATTTTCCCTTTGCCCTCCTTGTGAACATGCTTGTTTTGAGAGCTAAAAAGACATTGATGTTTCCAAGGAGGATCACATTGCTGCAGACAGTTGAAAGCCTTACAGCAGCTCCTTCAACCCAAACCTGTTGGCACGGATGAGCCTTTGTAATGTGGCTCCTCTTCCTGTATCTACTGGAAACTCACACACACTCCTCGGCATCCAGCTATCTCTTTTTCAGTTTCTCAGAGATGACTGATTTCTTTCTCTAACTCCCCCCCACCCTATCTTTGGTTCTTCAACCTTGTCATGAACACCCTTCTTTCTGAACCCTAAGTAACTTCTACTCAGTTTCTGGCCACCACTCTGTGGTCATTCGTGTGTGGCTTCTCTCATTCTTCTATGCCCATGACACCTCCACACCTGTGCACATCAGTGCCATGCCCTCCCCCCTCCTCCCTCCCCCCTCCCCCTGACTTATTAGCTCTGAGAGATGAGGCCGGTTTGCTTTACCGCTACACTGTTAGTACCTGTCACTGAGTCTGGCCAATAGCAGGTGCTCAAGAGTAGGGAACCTTGTCCTCATTCCAGCTCCTGAACATAGCATGTGATTGGCTCCGCCTCTTATGGCCAGCTGTTCTACATGTGCCTTTGTGTGACATCCGCCTGCTACTTGGTTCTTTGCCGTGAAGCACCCAGGTAGGCCCAGTTCCTTTTCTGTCTTGTGATCACAGCTGAAGTTCCCTAGTGGGCCTGTCTGTACTGCGGGTCTCCTTCCCGCTGCTGTAAGCATCCAGGTCTTCCAGCCACTCCATGTGAGAAGGTGCCTTGCGCAATGAGTGCTGTTTCTCTAATGACCATTGTGAAGAATGGCACCCACGGGTGGTCAGAGAATCCCAGAACGTGGTGAGGACCATCATGTGAGGGCAATGGCATTCGCTTGGTTGTTATTTCATACACTGATAGACAAGACACCTTGATTTTGCCATCTTTGCTTCTTCTACCAGTACTATGACTAGTAATAACTGCAGCAGATTTCATACTGCCTGAGGTATGTGGAGCAACCCAGTATAAAGAGCTTTCCTGACACCTTCATGCGGTACTCTCCTCAGTCCTTACACCTCGAGGAAGTAGACAGTAACAACATACCCCCCCCCTAATAGTCAAGGAAGTACAGTAACAACACCCCCCCAACAGTCGAGGAAGTACAGTAAAAACATACCCCCCCTAACAGTCGAGGAAGTGGACAGTAATAACATATCCCCCTAAAAGTCGAGGAAGTAATCTGTGCACAGACCCATGTTTGATGAGTGGCTGTCATGTGTTGACAAACTGCCGAGTTCTTCAATCCTATGACATCCAAATTCTTCACAACATCTACCAGTCCATGGCTGCCTCTCTGTACAGAACTGGGGGCCGCCATACAGAACTCTTCTGAAACCCTGTACTTGCAGCTTTCTTCTGATGAAAAGGCGGGAGGGACTTCTGTAGATGTTCCCCTGTGGTTCCTCAGAATTGTAATAGATAAAAATACAAACGAACAAGAACCAAACCCAGTGACATGACTATTTTCATAACACAGGTAGACAGCAGCAACAACAGGGGGACAGACGCCAATATGCCACCTGTTTGTATTTTTGAGTAACAGAAACTTTGAACAAAAGCTCTAGGTTAATTTACCATGGAGGAGAGAGAAGGGACTGTCTATCATGGATGTGTTCCCGCGCTTCTGGACTGTGGGTGATTCACCAGGAACAGGTAGAGGTGGTTAACTCCAGGGGTTCTGAAGTCAGAGAGGTGCAGCTGCCAGGGTCGTGTGACCAGTACATATCTTTGAACCTTGGCATTCTTCAGAACGTCAGTTATTTTGCATTTATCTATTTTTTTGGAATTTAATTGAGTAAAAAGACAAATTGCAACATGGCTTTATTCTTTAAATAATTTAAACGTTTTTGGGTATTCTCAATGTATCTTTCCAAATACATTATAAATGATAATGAAAGTTTTGTGAGTTGTTAGCACTATCAGTGCCTGGGAGACATAAGTAGAGAGATGAAAATATTGACTCGATTGGGCGCATTAACATCTCATCTTTCATCATTTGATCAAAGTTTCATCAAAGCATTAGCTGTATATTGTAATTTTGGAATAATTGCTTATAATAGCTTTCAGTTCTACAGTTATAATATAAAGGGAGTCTTCTCCAGTTGAAATAAACAATCCATGTCTTGCAATAAATACCTGGTGATTTCTCCCTAAACTTGGGATGGGTGTTTTAAACTATGACTCATTTGTGAACAACTGAACTTTTCTATTTCTGTTTTTCAGGATTTGGAAACATCTCCCCACGAACTGAAGGTGGAAAAATATTCTGTATCATCTATGCCTTGCTGGGAATTCCCCTCTTTGGCTTTCTGTTGGCCGGGGTTGGCGATCAGCTTGGGACCATATTTGGAAAAGGAATTGCCAAAGTGGAAGACACATTTATTGTGGGTACCACAGACTTCTTACTGTATCTATTTAGTGTTTTTTTTGTTTGTTTTTGTTTAATGTATTGCCTCTTCTAGAACCTTTGATGAGGTGGAAATTCAGTTGTCATTTACATAACAAATTCTATGCCTTGTAGCATGCCACACACTGTATTTGATTTATTTGCATACTTAGAGAAACTAAAATTTATGTGCAAGAAAGCAGAATTATAACCTTCCTGGGTTGCACTTGAAGTTGTATGGTGTCCTAATTATATATATATATATATATATATATATATATATATATATATTGTGTGTGTGTGTTTGGGTGCACACTCATGTTTTTGCATCTGTGTGTGTGAATGCATGTACATGTATGTGTGTGTGGAAGTCAAAGGGTAACCTTAGGTGTCACCTCAAGTGCCCTTTAATTTGTTTCTTTATACAAGGTCTTTAAATGACCCATGTTCTCACTGACCGATTAGTCACGGAGCTCCCCTGCTTCTCCCCTGTCTGTCTCTGCTTCTCCAGGACCCAGATTACAAGCATGTGCCACCATGCTTGTGTTTTCTGTTGTGGGTTCTATTGGTGGAACAGATGTCCCCATGCTTATAAAGCAAATGCTTTACATAACTATGCTATCTCCCCAGGCTGCACCTACATTCTTCAGTCAATTTTCCTTCAAACCTCTGGTTTATTCATTTTATGTGAATGAGTGTTTTGCCCATATCCAGTCTGCGAACCCTGTACATGCTTGGTGTCCACAGAGGTCAGGAGAGGGCATCAGATCTCCCGGGACTAGACTTACAGATGGTTGTGAGCTACTGTGTGGATGCTGGGAACTGAACACGGGTCCTCTGAAAGAGCAACAAGTGCTCTTAACTGCTGAGACCCCTCTCCAGCCCCAAAGCTTCATTTTCCATTTTGAGCACCACTAACAATTCCTTTACATTGTTCTAAGCAGTAAATGCTAAAACTTAACTCTGGAAACAAATAGCTGGCAGTAATTTTATTTTGAAAAACTGCTTTGGTATCTGTCTTGATTACTGTTGGTATTGATCTGTTATGTGGTTCTTTTGGGCAGACTGTAGTAATAAATAGTAAACACAAACTACCTTGATGGTAGGACTCAGTCAAAGCAAAGCTTATCTACAAAGCGCAGCAATTCCAAGGAACTCAAGATAGTAAACGTGAGGGTGTTTGGAACTGGCAATACTTAGGAGGTATGTGGCTAAAATTAGGATGCTGTTATTGAAACCAAGGGAGAGGGGAGGTAGTGGTGGTGGTGCATGCCTTTAATCCTAGCTCTCAGCTCTCGGGAGGCAGAGGCAGGGTTCAAGGCCAGTGTGGTCTACAGATCGATTTCCAGGATAGGCAGGGCTGGCCTACAGATCAATTTCCAGGATAGGCAGGGCTATACAATAAAGGAGAAATGTTTTTATTGAATTTTAAGTGAAAAATAAGAATCTGTGATTATAAGTGTGTATCCCTGAGGAGAGTCATGAAGGATAAAATGGTTGCATTTGCATGTGCAAAGCATTGCACTTATCATTCAATTATTTTTGTCATTTCTTATAATTGTTAGTGAATCAATGGATTCATGGTTCTACTGATGAAATGAAACTACTGAATCACCATTTCAATTTTAGCATTAGAAATTTTTCCTGCTGAAAACTGAAGCTCATTCTTGAGCATTTTTAGGATGCAGTTGATGAGATGATTACTCCCAAATAGGGCTTTCCCTTCCCTTATACATGATAGACTCTAGCTACTTACACTCACCAGAAAGACAGATTCGTTGCATCAACTTGGAAATAATGAGTTGTTCATTCCTGCATTCAGTAAAAGTCTGACTGCCCACCCCGTCCTTCACTGTGTTTGATACACTACATACCTGCTGGTCATTTATACGCCTTCACACCTTCACGGTACCATTCCCATTGTCACGATGTTTGATGTCAAGCACTTTGGAACAACTTTCATGTCCCACATGATATGAGGAAGTTAGACAAGAGAGCTCCCTGTGGTCATTTCCATTCTGTGATTTTATACATGTTTATCTCTAGAAAGATCCCAGCCTATTATTAGATGGTTTCCCTTTTTTAAAAAATTAACTTAAGCTTATTTATTTGTATGTGTGTATGCCATGTTGCTGATGTTGAGGTCAGAGGATAATTTGCTGGAGTTGGCTCTCCATCCACCATGTGAGTTCTGGGTTTGTACTCAGGTCTTCTGGCTTGGTGGCAAAAACCGTTATCCTTTGAGCCAGCTCATCACTCCCCCCCCCCATTGTATGCATGGGGTATGGATCATAATCTACAGCTTCTGCAGTACATTAGACAGTCAGTCTGTAAATGAAGATGCATGGCAACCATGCTAGCATGGCTCATTGTAACACACACCTACAATCCCAGCAGTCTAGAGGCTGAGTCGCGAGCTTCAGGCAAGTCTGGGTTACACCATAGGGACATTTTGCTTTGAAAAAAAACCCAAGAAAGTCACTATAACACTATAATCTCAAATAGAGAGCTGGAGACAAACCCAGTTCCATACTCACATTATAGGGATTTCTTGCTGAAGAAGCAGGTTTAACAAAAAATAAGCAGGTGCGGTGGTGGTGACAGGCAGGTGTCGTCAGGGCTGTGACATCGCACCCTTGCTTGTAGATCCAATGACTTTGTGGTCCCACAAGCAGCTGATTCACCTGTTGGTCCTTAGCATCCTATCCGAGTCAACTGAATGGATGCCATTGTCGGTGTTTCCCAGTTCCCAGCTGTGAATGTGGAGTGTTTGCCCAGCTTTCTCAGTTGTCACATTTCCCTCAATTGTACCTGGCCCACACAGTCAACTGTGTGCCCACAGCATAGACAGATTTCATTAGTGGTTCAGGTGACGGACTGTTGATGCCTATCCAAACCACACCCTCCCAGCAAATGAGAAAATGCACTACAATTTTGAGAAAATATTTTACCCTTGGCAAAGCTATGAATATGTGAAATGGCATTACTCTTTGACACGGGTTGTTGTGAGTTGTTGATATTGTGCTCCATTCTATGAGTAGAGACAGTGGGATAGGAAGGATGGAAGGACAGGAAGCAATGAGCTCACTCACGTGGTAGCACTTGGTCTTGTGGGCATGTCAGTGACCTCCGTCTACCCCGCCACTCTGTCTCTACAGAAATGGAACGTTAGCCAGACCAAGATTCGCATCATTTCCACCATCATCTTCATCCTGTTTGGCTGCGTCCTCTTTGTGGCCCTTCCCGCAGTCATCTTCAAGCACATAGAAGGCTGGAGTGCTCTGGACGCCATCTACTTTGTGGTTATCACTCTGACCACCATCGGATTCGGGGACTACGTGGCAGGTAAGGGTTTCCCGTGCTGACCGCGGCTGCTCTCCCAGCCCGAGTCTACTAGTTAAGGCTCACAGGGTCTTATATCGGAACACGTCTGAGACTGGGCTGCGGTGCTGCAGGCTCACGGCTAGGTGGCTGTAAACAGAGGGAGCTCTGGGATCCCTCTGAGAGTCTTCCTTGCCCCTCGCTGGTCACAGGGGGAAGCCACCAGGCCCTCGTGACTTTTGCTTCTCAGAAGAATCATTACCACCTCAGTCTTGATCTCGCATCTGCCTTGCATGAGTGTCCAGGTGCAAACTCCCCCCTTCCTCTAAGGACTCGCTGAGTGAAGGACCCAGCCTGCGCCCCTGTGAGCTCACCTTTGCTAAGGATGACCGCAAGGGCCATATTTCCAAATGCAATCCCATTCTGGGGTACATGGGGGTTGGGGATTCACCATGTCTTTGGAAGGACATGACCCAACCCCTAACAGTGATGAGTAGTGATTTGGCTACACCAGAGGGAAACAGAAGGATTACGTCGAACTCATTTATGTTGAAATAAGTATAAATGGCTGGTTGTATAGAATTTTGCATTTCTAGGTTAATTCTGAAAAACAAATCTCTCTCTCTCTCTCTCTCTCTCTCTCTCTCTCTCTCTCTCTCTCTCTCTCTCTCTCTCCTCCTCTTTTTCTGGTGTAAGAAAGTCCAACTCCTCTTCATCTTTTTTCTTTTGCCTTAGTTTGTAAAAGTTTGTCAACTTTGGATGGCGATTTTATTCTTGGCCACCAAAAACCTTCTTTTGTCCGAGACACCGGAAGGTTTAATTCTCAGTACAGGGCAGCAGCTCTGACCCCAGCTGAAGGGGGTCACATGGTGCTACATCATTCACATCACCTGATTTGTCCTTTTCTGTATGTAGTGACTGATGTCTGTTCCCTTGTCTCTCTGGCTTACTTCATCCGTTCAGATCTCACTCTCCTCAGTGGTATTGTTCCAGCTCACGTCTTTGTTTTCATGTGTATGTGTTCAAGTGTGTATGTGGGTACATGCATGTGTGTGCATGTGCAGGACAGAGTGTCTTTCTTGATGGCTTTTGACTGTGTTGTCTGATACAGAACCACACACTGAACCTGAAGTTCGTGGATTCAGCCAGAACAGCAGGGCCCCGAGTCCCCCTGTGTCTGCTTTGCCAGCTCTGAGATTACAGGGCCATGCTGTCATGCTTAGAGTGTTTTTATTACATGGATGCCAAGGATCTAACTCATATCCACATGCTCTTCACTGGCTGAACGATCTTCCAAATTCAACCCACTAATTTATAACTCCAGTTTGATGTGATAGAAAATACAATAGGCACACCTTGTTTGCCATAAAGTAGCAACATGTCATTAAAGTCTCAGAGTAAGCTCATCAGGACTTTAAAAAAAATCTTATGTTCTTTATTTATCTTGCACAAGCACATGTGCGTGCATGTGTGAGGGTGTGTGTCCAGTGTTGTGTATGTATGTGGTATGGTGTATGTGTGTGTGTTGTGTGGTGTGTGTGGTGCATGTGGTGTATGTGTGGTGTGTATGTGTGTTATGTGTATGTGGTGTGTGTGTATGGTATGTTGTGTGTGGTGTATTGTGTGGTGTGTTGTGTTGTATGTGATGTGTGTTGTGTGTGTGATGTGTGGTGTATGTATAGTGTATCTGTGTGTGTGTTGTGTTGTATGTGTGTGTGCTGTGTGTGTCTGTGTGTGATGTATTGTATGTGTGTTTGTAGTATGTGGGTGAGCAAACACATTATATGGAGGTCAGAGGACAACTTGTGGGAGTTGGCGCTCCATGAGCTCTGGTGATTAAACACAGCTTCCAGGTTTGTGTGGCAGGCACCTTTGCCGGCCCAACCATCTCTCTGTCCTGACCTCAGTCTCTTGTTTAAATACTTCCAGGGGAGAGCCTCTATTGCTCTGTTCAGTAAAGTGTCCCAAAGGGCTGGAAGTCAATGATTTGTGCTGCCACTAAGGTTAAGGTTGGCAAAGCCCCTTATGAGGAGCACGCGATGCTTTGAAGAAGCGTGTCATTCTCATGAGTGAGGCTCCCCTTTGCTAGAAGCGCCATGCACACATCTTTGTACCGAGTAGAGGAGCTGGGGCCAGGGAGATGGGGATGGTGCAGAGGTCTAAGGGGCACCTTTGAGTTAGACAGTTATCAAAATGATGTGAGAAGCCTCTGACATTTGTAACTCCAAGTAAGCAGACGGGACTCTGTCCTAAAATATCCATTTTCTTACCTCCCTAGATGTTATATGAGTCAGTGTAAACAGAAATGAGAAATGTGTTCCTACAGAGGAAGGTGAAGTAGCATGATAAAAACAAAAACACACTTGCAATTCATTATCTTACCTAGTTACATAAACAATTACAAAGTCTTGTGAAATGTGCTGGTTGTATGGGCATTAGGTGACAAGTCTTACACTTCAGGCCAACAGCCTGAAGTGGAATAGGACATTTTAAACAACCCACAAGACTGTGTTGAACTGGCTTGTGGCCTTCGTGGTCTGACTCTTTAAAAATACAAAATTTATAAGTGAAGAAAAATGTGTGTGGAATCTTAAAATAATAGTTTCTGTGACCACTACCGAGATCGGCTTGGACCGGGTAAAGCTCAAAATATTACACTTTATGGTTTTGGAAAACATGTTTTTTAAAAAGACTTACTATAAATTCACCTGGAGAGGCCAGACTGAGGAAATCCTGCAAGTCTGTCTGTAGCTGCAGTTCCCTGCCCAAGGAAGGGTATTCAGTGGGAATGTCCCATGGGTCCCTGTGAGGTCCCCAAGTCCAGAGTTGTGGCCCCGTGTCATAGAAGGGTAGGGTGACAAGAATGATTCTTCTCAAACTGGGGAGACACCTCAGCAGTTGAGTTCTTCCTACTCCTGCAGAGAACCTGAGTTAGAAGCCCTAACTCAGTGAGTTTCCCCAGTGCGCACACGGTATCTCCCAGCTGTCGGTAACTCTGGCTTCAGAGTCTCTGATGCCCTCTTCTGGTCGTTGTGGGCACTTGGACAGGGATGCACATAAACTCACACATCAATAACATAGACATTTTTAGAGAAAGATGCTTTGTGCAATCAATAATGGGGAAAACAGCTTTTCTTGTCACCAGTATTTTGTTATATTGAGCTGTTCATCAAAGGCATTGCTTTCATCTGTTTTTATTTTGTAAAGGAAGATTTTAAAAGATAGAAATCTGTCTTGCTAGTTGCTAGAACACAAGTTTGCTTTGATTAAAACAGCTAATGGTGGCTCAGTGGTTAAACACCTGCATGGTGGCTCATAACAGTCTGCAACTCCAGTCCCACAGGATCCACCCTCCTCTTCTGGCCTCTTTGGGCACTGCACCTGTGTGGTGGACAGATATGCAGACAAACACTCATAAATATGAATTTTTTTCTTGGTTTTTCAAGACAGAGTTTCTCTGTATTGCTCTGGAGCCTGTCCTGGAACTTGCTCTGTAGACCAGGCTGGCCTCGAACTCCCAGAGATCCGCCTGCCTCTGCTTCCTGAGTGCTGAGATTAAAGGCATGCGCCACCAACACCTGACTCTAAACATGAAACATTTTAAAAATCATTAAAAAAATGTGGGAGAAGAGAGGAGCAGCACACTTTGACCATTCTTCTGCCTCCTTGGTCCATGCTGGTGTTTGTGAGATCACAGAGCTGTGTTCCTGAAGGCATATGTGCCAGATCATCACACCCAGGAAGTGTGTGGGGCAGATATGGAGAAGGCAGGACAGGAAACATGTGCCCTTTGTAGTAATCGTAGGAAAACAGAAAATGTGTTTGTCTTTCAAGCTTCTTGTGAAGGGATTGCCATTTATAACTCAATAGAGTCCCCAAGAGCCTTTGCTCTTGGGGACCTTATGATCCCAGTAAGCTGCTGAGCTATCGCCCTGTGCCCCTCTGGGGAGAGGCTGGCTATCTGCTTTGTAGAACTATCCCTCTTGCTGTTCAATACCCTGACCCATAATGCAAGAGCTATCTCTCTACCCAAAGCCTTCCAGATACTCCCTGCAGATCTTAATTTTTATATTTCTGTTTCTGCTTGTGTCAGAGCATGCTGTAGCGGCTGGATGGTTACCTTGGTGATTGACATTGGATCCTCCCAGCTGATCCCTTCTGTCCTCTTCCTCATGCTCAGTGTCCTGGGGCTGAGAAGGAACAGGGAGGAGCTAGGTGTTGGCTTTGTGTTATGGCAATCGCCCAACCCCACAGCTTAGAGGAGCATGGGCAGTAGCTCTTGCCTGAAAATGAAAAGGGAGAATGAGATGACTTAGCCAGTGTCACCCGCCTGGTTTTGAAAGTACACTCAGAATTAAAATACACTGCAAAGTCGTACCAGAGAATTACTGTTGATGTCCTCATTCCTGTCATTTGACTTTTCATTTCTTTAAATGCCTAGGATGATGTGTTCTTAAGTCACACTCACCTTATAGAATGAAGACTATACCTACGTTTCTTTCTCAGAATCTAGTCTTGATCATATCGGAATGCGTTTTTTAAAAAAATGTCTACTTATTCGGGCTTGCTTCCACAACTATGTGCCTGGTCCATGAATGTGAGAGAGGAAAATGACACAGAACCTAGATCCTTGAAGACTAGAGAAAAGCCTCGTGATCCTGCTTAATGCTACTTCAACTGCATTTTCAAGACTGATGACTTTTTAAATCTACAGAATCTGTCAGAGGGAAGATATGAAACCCCCAAATGTGCTTCTCGGTGAAATCCTTGAAAACACTTCTTCTCCCAAGTCAGCTTAGGTTGGTTCAGAAGAGAGGTGGATGGGGCAGAGGCTGGCATGAATGACAGCTTGGCAAAGCTCTGTCTTCACACTCCCTATGTGTTTAAGCCCCTCCAAATTTAAGCATTGTAAGTAACCATCACAGACAGCCCTACAAAGACACATATTTCCCAGCTGGTTCATTAGTTACATGTGCTTACTGCTCATCCAGAGAGGGGTGTTAGGTTCCAAGCACCCACAGAGC